CACCTGTTGGGGTGATGGAGGAAAGAGTAAGGAAACAGGTGAGCTGCTTATTGATGTTACACGTATTAAAAAACACACAAAAAAAAAAACGCTCGCACGCACGCAAACACGCACGTAAACAAACACACATACACGAACGCACGCAATGGGAAAACACGCACGCACGCAAACACACCCACGCAAACAGAAAAACAACAACAACAAAAACCTCACGTGCAATCTTGAGTGGTACCGCTCGTTTACAATTTAACGTTCTTTTCTGGGCAGTTGTCTGGCATGTCGCTGTTCGTTTGCTCGCATTGTGAGACGCCGCCATAAAAAAAAAAAAAAAAGAAAAAAAAGCGGCAGATCGTTTCTGTTAAACGTTCAATTTTAACGACCACCCTTTAAAAGCAGCTGTTTCGACTGCATATATAACTGCCATACAGACATAAGAAAAGAACACTTGCTAGGCAGTGCTCTTCCGCTTCTTACATTATTTCTATTTTTTTTTTTTTTTTTGCACCGCTTACAACAACGGACTTTTTCGGAAGAGTTTGTTGTTTCCAACGGCGCTTTATAATTACCTTCTGCGAATTCTCTTTCTTTTTTTATGGTAGTCATTGATCACAAGAATGCCGCAAACCTGCCGAGATTAGAGCTCGACCCGGTTCGAATTTTCGCCAACTTTTAATGCAAACGTTAAGAAAAGTTCGACGCGAGGGCGCATAAATTGAAAATGAACCGACACTACCCGGCGGAGGAAAGGTATAAAATATAAGAAACTATTAGAGGGATTGAAAGTTCATATGTTTGTTTTTAGATTAACACGTTTTTAATTATTCTGTAAATTTAGATCAAATTCCCGTACAATTTTTTTTTTCTTTCTTTCAATCTTTGAACAATTTGCTTAGAGGTCGGGTAACACCATTCAGGAAGTCGAACTTAGTCTAATTTTGCCGAAACTTCAAAGATTCGGCGAACCAGTTGAAACTCGGGTTCGAAGAAAGTTTACGGCGACGTCCCTACTGACTGACAACCTTGGAACGTCAAGGAGGCCTTTGGAGGTTGTGACCTAACCTTCGGCGCGAACTTTCTGCTTTCAGTGATGCCCTGGCGTCTTTTGGCATTCGAAAGTGCGCGCGAGTCTAGGCACCAACAAAATCCGCCTGTCTGTGCCAGGGACCGGACAGCTGAAGTAAAAATGTCTTGTAGATCGACAGGCCATCTTTTCAAGACGTCGGGTGAACGAAACAAATTACACGCAATAGCTGCAAAGGAAAGATACGACACAACATCGCAATATGAGTCGATGCTTCTTGAGCGGATATTTTTGGATGAAGTTTAGGTACGCGACTAAATGTTCTTTTAAATACATATTTGTTTTCGAGGGAGTTGTATTGCATAAAATTTCAAGCATCTAGGCTTGACTGTTTCTTCCATAAATTATGTATTGAACGGTTCTTTATTTTTTTTATTATGTTGATGCGGTACCTAGCGGCCAACGTTCCAACCCGTACCGGGGTCAAGTGGCTCAGAGCATAATATACTAATAACAAATCCATTATGTTAGTCTCTCTGCGTTTCGATAAAGTATCGTAGTATCGCGAGTCTTGGGAAACTATTAGTAGGGCAGCATATCATGCACTAAAATTGGCTTACTTTGGCACTACAGTGAAAAGAAATGATAAATAACATTCGAGTTGCTGTGACTTCTAGATGGGGTCAGCGAGCGGACTTTACGCTAACAATACATAACTTTTATACGTTCTTTTGGTTGGTACTTTCTTGTAAAAAGGAATAAACAGTGTAAAACAAATTTTAGAAAGCGTCGATCGACGGATTAAATTTATACATAAATAGGTCACTGGTCTTTATCACAATAAATAAACACGTTAATGACCAAAAGAAAGTTTACAACAATCTTTAACACACACACACACACACACACACACACACACACACACACAAAAGGTTGCAACTCGCGAAAACAATCAGAAAAAAAGTATTAAAAAAATTAAACAAATGTTTTTTTTTTTTTTTTTTTTTATGTTGAACTACGTAAAACAAAATGGAAATGATCGCTGTACTAAGGTAAATTCCCCCCCCCCCCCCCCCCCCCTCCCCGCCTTCTCGGGAAAAAACAGCAACAACATCTCCATTTTGTTTTCATTTTTTTTTTTTTTTTTTACGCTCGTTGAGTGATTTTAGGCCGCAGCGACTAGGTCATCCGCGCTTGCAAGCTCTCATGACACAGTCGAGAAATTGTAGAACATTCGAGTGATCTAACTGCTGCGCCACTGGTGCCACAGTGGTTGTTACCCTGCTTCATGCTGCTACATTTCACCATGATGTGACAAATTTGCGTCAAAATTGCACCAAAAATTTAATTTCTCTTTCTCAATACTAAATTGCTGCACGACCGGATTGCCAAAACTTGCGATTATCGCTTCGAATAACGTACAATTTGATTTGATGTTTTCATCGTACACTGCCATTTCCCATAGTGATCTGTTGAGGCGAGCTGGTCAGCCCCGTTGAATGTGCTTCTCTCGGTGCAGTGGTGCACAGTGGAGAAGCGACATTCGCGGAGACGGGAGTTGACATTTCGATTGCGCGTGTCTCGCTCCCCCGCATGCAGCGTAGCCGAGCGGCTACGCGAAAACGCAGATCATAAGGTTATCAGCCCCGTTTTCGCATGCCAGCCTTGCGCCTGTTGCACGACTGATAACTTTAGCACTTCACCGCTCTTCCTGTGTGCTTCACGTCCTAATATGTATACCGATTTAGTGGTTTTCGACGGGTGACGCTCAGCGAGTTTTTCATTGAAACCATACGTTTATTTTAAGTAATTAAAAGGTTAAATAAGATACTATAGTTCATTATCCAACGTATCATGACGAGTATCCCCCAATATTATGTGTCCTGGCCGGATAACTCACCCGCACAAACCGCATTAGTTTACCTTTCGCGTTTCAGAGCGCAGATCTTATTTAGGCGCCCGTTTCCGGGTTGAGCGACGGCGGCGGCGGCGTAACCGCGCACGTCGCATTATGGTAAATTTTCCCGCTAAATTTAGCGGGTAAATTGACGTCATGTGACCTCAGCACGTTTCCCCGCCAAATTTAGCAGAAAATTTAGTGAACATTTTTCTCTAAACGGAAGGGCAGCAGGCGAGGGAGGGGAAGGTACGGAGGGGGAAAAGGGGCGTACCCTCCCCTCCGTACACTCCCCTCCTCCTCCTCCTCAAGAGCTGCGCTCTAATTCGGCATTACAGAGAATTGTAAGCGTCTTTAATTTTTTCTTTCTTTCTAATAGATCGGTCTGAATTGAAACCGAACGCACGGTATATTGTGAAATTCATACCGCAAGCACACAATCACTGAACGGCAATGAGAAAATAATGCGAGCGGTCTTACTTCTTCGTATTATATACTTTTTTTTTTCATTGGAAAGTTTGTTAGTTTAGTCGTAAGGCAAAGCAACACAAATAGTCAAGATTTTTTCTTTTTCTTTTTTGCAATTTTGCAATACCAAAATAACGTTTATTTGATCGGGTTGGTCGTGTTGAATCGGCGTCATCGGAGCGACACCAAGCGCATACACAGATTGGACACGAGTGCTGCGTCGACGTTCGGCTGGGCGTCGTGTCCAATGAACGCGTCGGAGAACGCTCGGCGTCGGGCTCGGGTCAAGTCGCTCCTGGTTGTGTTGACTGTGGACGCGTGGGTGGCGTCTGTTCATTATTCTGCAGAAGAAAGCTTCTGCGGATGCTCAGAACGGGTTCCACAGACCAGTGGACAAATATCGCAGCCCGCAGGGAGGGCTTATCGCAATGGTCTATAGTCTATATACTATGGGACTTAATGGCAGAAAGTGAACAATGGGAGCGGATTAAATTATATATATATATATATATATATATATATATATATATTCGTTTCTTCGAAGAGCTTGCTGATTTGGGAATAAAGCGCTCAGCACACCGCGACACGGTCAGTGAAGGTTTTATCCCCTCAAAATAAACGTTACGTTTTCTCCTTTTTTTTTGTTTTGGACGGATGGGTCGTGTTGAAACCACGTGCTGAGGTCGGCACATGGGGTTCGTTTACCCTCTTGCGATGAATAACCGCGGCCTACGCCAACCATCCATCATGACGCCTCAATAGCGCGCATCCATCATTAATCATGCACGATGAGATATTGATCGTGCTACCAATGCGATCCAAGTTACGGCAGCAACGTTTGCTAAGTCGGGGTAAATCGACAGACTCTAATGCACGATCGTAATTTAATAAAACAAAACCATTGTGGAGGAAAAAAGGCTAAAATAAATTGATTTCGTTTTTGTATCTGATATTCACCGGCGCAATTTTAGTCCACTTTAGGACCTGCCCAACAAAGGTAATCTCAGGAATATATATATAAAAAAAATGGCAGCTATCATTTTTGTCTAAGGTCCTATAAATTAACGGAATGCAGTATTTAAAGGACGATCGTTTAAATTTTTTTAGAAGACATTATACTTCACGCAACTTTAGGGTGTGAAGGCGTGACGTTATGTGACATCGTGAGGCAACGTACCATGACGTCACGTCCTGTGGCATGTCACGTGACGTGTGGCACTATGACATTAGTCATAGTGCCACATGTTAGCAGAACTGTCACGTGAGTCACGTCACGTGTGCCACGTGGCACCGTGACGTCAAACGACCTAATCACGTGACGTCACGTTGTCAAATCATTGTGTCACATTACGTGACGTCACGTCACTACGACCCGACACGCATCGTTACTTGGTCTAATATCGTTGACTGGTCGCGTCGACACGCTCTGCCCTGGCCCAAACGGCTATTCACGGACGCATGGATGGATAAATTTCAGGGACTAGGGTTTCTGTTACAAAGCCTTCCAGGCTTCAATGAGAAATTGGCCCCAGTGATCTCCGACATAGGGCCTCTAGGACGCTGCAATTCGCACAGCTCCCTGACTCCGTTTCCTCTATACTTGTTCCGTGGCAGCCCCGCATGTCGTCGCTGAGTCCCGGGCCCGTGAGCGTCGCAGCCTGGACGAGCCATGCTTTCGGCGGGCTGCTGGACCCCGTGCCGCAGCCTCAAGCGTCGGGCCCTCTCCCTCGTCCTGCTCGTGCTCGTCGTGCTCGTGCCGCTGCTCTTCTTCTTCGCCCTCGTGGACCGGGGAGCCCTCTGCTGTCTCCGGTGAGTCAGCCTCCTCTTTAATGGCCACCACATGAAAACTAGAAAAACAGAAATTATGCGAAAGTAAGTGTCAAAGAAAGTGCAAACGCTTCGATTGTTCTACTTTTTTTTTTCTTTTTTTAGGTACATTACGTATTTTGGTGGGGTTAACTTGGTGAAAACGTAAGACGGCAGGGCGAGACGCAAAATCGCCACGACCGAGAAAACGATAATAGTGGCACCACCGCAGCAGGTGATCATAGAGTTATTATAATGCACGCTAGAGGTTCAACTGGCGCTAGTGTCTATGCGACTTTCGTGACGCAAATTGAAGCAGACAGCAACCAGTCTACTTTTGAGGTGCTCCTGTGCATTCCTATGGGAAAACGCGCGTGCATTTTGTCTCTTCGCCGGAAAATAACATGGAACAATTTGGTTATTTGGGTCGTACCTAATAGTATGTATCTTGATTAACATTGTAAAAGTTATCTCATTTTTCTTCGTCAGTGAACGATGTTTAACTTCGCTACATTTCAGTCCCAAACATGTGTTCCGCAGCAGGTGTGTAAAAACAAGCGACGATTCAAAGCAAAATAACAATCGAAAGGAATATAGAGTGATTTTAACATTCGCCAGCATTCCGGTGACGCTTATATATTGCTAATATGCCAGTCCGTCCACTATATGAAAATGACCCCGTCATGCATCTTTATGAGCGGATAGAACATTGAAAACGTAAAGAGTAAAGTACGTGGACTATGAAAGATGTCTCTTTTATTATTTTCTCTGCCGGGCAGCTTTTATCGGGCACTTGTTCTTAAAGATATCGAGCGTGCGGGTGATGTTTTGAACATAGAACAAGCATCTTCGCACAGAGCAGAAAAAAAAACAAAACAAAAAAAAACAACAGAACTTACTTATTTAAAATCGGAATATATTACGTGGCCTTATTTTAATTTGGATCGTACATGATACGCGTAGTCACTAATCTTGTGTTACTGCGTAGTTCTTGCCGTTTCTCTCGGTTTCCAGATGCCCTTCGTTCGGGTGGCACGTATATCCCTCATGCTGAAGAGCGCCGACGCCGTGTTCGCGCTAATAGTGTCCGACAGTGCACACACATACACGTACGAAGCCGTTTTAGCACCATTTTTAATGCATTGAATTTGAAACAAGAACGCCGTAACTGACCAATCATTTCGTCTGCGTGCCTGAGAAATGTTCCAAGCTACCTAGCATGTACGAATACTTCGGGATATTTGCTCTTATGATCGAGCGCAGGGAAAAAATACACTCACTCTTTCCCACAGGAATGCACCACCATAAGTCAGTTTTCGACTGGTTGCTGTCTGCTTCAATTTCCGTCAGCACACTATAGCGCCAGTTGAACCTCTAACGTACATTATAATAACTCTATGCAGGTGACAACTACGTGGGTGGCGCTGATGGCGCCTCACTTTCCATTGGCTGGCGTATACGATCATGCGACTATATCGACAGCCAATGGCGTTCTCGTCGGAAGTAACGGTATGCGTCTCAATAAAAAAAAAAATAAAATAAAAGAAAAGAATATTGCCGAGGTTTATTGAATAAACAAATTGCTGTTTTCATGTTTGTGGTCACTAAAGACGCGGTCGATCTGCTCGTATACATCGTGCAAAAGACGCGGTGTCCGCTGATGACATAATTTGCGGACACGCCTGAACCATGTTCTAAGCATGTTTTACTTCGTACACACGTCTGCTTCGAGCATGTCTCTGAAGACAGTGTAGGCAGACTGTCTTTCGTACGATGTAGTAGCGGTGGGTCCGCGGCTCTTAAGCTCCGGTACTGAAGGCCCATTTTGGAGAAGTAAGCCCGTCGTTCACAGCTCGCATTATGCGTTCCAGGTGCGCAAGCGCACAGAAACCTTGCAGGTTTGGCCACATACGTATATCCTCCAAGACTGCCGGTTTCGAAGGCCATATGTGTATTCGGTCGACGTATGTATTGCTCGTTTCGTACATTTGCGTCTGAGTCACGTCCACCACTGGGACCGCAACGACGTGCGATGACATGGAGAGAACCGTGCCTTGACACCTCAAGGATTGATTGTAAAAAAACAAAACAAAAAAAGATTCACAATCTAAAAAGAATGTGCGCTCATATTTTTTTTTTTTTTATTTCTGATTGATTGTTCGGTGGTAAGCGTGGTGACAGATCCATCTATGGCTAGGCGCGCAACGCGAGGACGAAGCGACGGTTGTCCCGGAAATTCTGTCGCGCTAGTGTTTTTTTTTTTTTTTTTTTTGGGGGGGGGGGGGGGGGGGGGGCTGGTAACGCACTTGACGAAAATGTCTGATCCGGCCTTATGTCTCGCTTTCAGTTGCAGACATGCAACGCCCGCTAACGCGACAGAGCGGGCTGTCCCTGTCGGAAAGTAGATTAGTGGGCCACGTCGCTGGCGATCGGCAAATCACCGAAACAGTGGAACGCGTTGCGTCTTTTCTCGCCTCGCGTGATTGCTCGTCGCGTCTGAGACATGGCGGCGGTCAGATGGCCCGCTTGCAATCGTGTAAGAAGCGTTGTAATAGAGGTTGGGGGGGGGGGGGGGGGGGGGGGAGAGCCAATAGTGAGGCGTAGTCAGAGCGTCAAGAGCTGTGATTGGAAGGATAGTGGGTATAGACCCATCGTCTCCCTCCAATCAGAACGTCTGCTTCTCGCGCAGTGTCTAGCGGGGAGCAGACGACGCTCTTGATCGCTGCGCTCAGAGGGGGACAGTGGGTAGAGGCAAAGGCAGCCAAACCTTTGTCCGTCTATACCCACTATCCTTCCAATCAGAGCTTTCGACGCTCCGACAACGCCGCACGCTCTCGTCTACTCCTCTCCTTCAGTTTTTCTCCGTATAAGCGCGAGGTAAAGCTTCTGCGCATGTGCCGTGCCGACAGCAGCGCCACCGCTGCAGAGGCGTAACGGCGAGCTGGTCCGCTATAAAGAACAAAAAGTGGCACACCACTTTCTTGACCGGTAAAAAAAAACAAAAAAAAAAAGTATTGTGAGCGTTGTGATGTGCACTCCGGAAACAACGCTCCCCTTGATGATCCACCACCGGCATTATTGAAGGACAAAAGCAAGCAGCGGAAACTTGTTGCCACGCTGAAGCAGCGCTCGTTCCTGGTAACGTGTTCCTCTTTGGGTCGGAAGAGCGTGCAAGCGTTTCGCTTTATCTAGGCGGAACTGGAATGGGAGCTCCGATGCAGCCGCCCTCTGCGCGCTTGTCTGCATCCCTTCTAAAGAGCACTATCATTTTCATATAGGACTTTTTATTTTTCCTCGCTTCCGCCGTCCGAAAAGACTGAGTGACGTCAAGCTTAACCCAAAACCCGCTTTCGCTCAAATAAGGTGCGACTTCGTGACGTTTCAGATTTCAGACGAAGTCCCCGCGAACGAGCCGCCGCGCCGTCTCCCTGGATGATATAAACGATAAACGCTGCTTATAGACATGTAGAAAAAAAAAATCGCCAACAGTTTTAGAAAGCTTGCCGACGCCATTTCGTAATGCTAGCTGACGAAGCCGCTGCTGCAACGATGTAGACTTGATAATTATCATTCCAAAATTGGGAGTTCATTCGTGACGTGAGAACACTACGAGCGAAATGCTGCAGGCACCTGTGTTCGGAGAACGGTGGAAGAAGAGAGGTGTGTTTGAACGATACCGCCTCGCCACGGAGCAAGTGTGTCGAAGGCTCGCTCCCATTTCTGACAAACGCTGTGAGATGGCGCGGAATGATATTCGTTGACACGTTTTCAAGGCCGCACTGCGCGCATTGCTCCTGCGCGCCGAGCCCCAACCCGACAGCGCCCCATCGCGGGAGATGCGCGGAGCCCGAGTGAAATTTCCACCGCCGTTTTGGGCCTTGTTCAGATACCTCTCTTCTTCCGCCGTGGTTTGAAGCCAGGTTCTACCACTTCAGCGGCGGGCCTGGCCGACATTCAAGAATGTTGGGAGCACTCTTCGTGGTTTGCGGTTGTCTCTTTGTGTCTCTGTGTTCACCTCCGTGCGTGCTTTGATAATGACCCATAGTTTGTTGCAGGTTAAGAAAAATCGCACAGGCTCGTCGCATGAAACCTTCCACTCTTTAACCAAAGTAATTGTAGCGAACGTTGAAGAGGAAGCGTGTGAAGAGGAGAAAACATACAATCATGGCGAGCTGGGAACTTTGTGGACGGGCATGTCCTGCTTTACTTAGCATGGAATAAAATTCGGAAGTGCCACTAGAAAGAGAAACGATGGCTAGTTAACGACCCCCCAAGGGTAACAAAGCACACAAGGAAAGGTTTTTTTAACATGTGTGCAAGCGATGTTTGCTGCTTGTTTGCGCAGTGGGAACAGACTTTAAGCTCTGCGAGCCTCGTCGCCGTTTCTTACAGATGTTCGCGTGTACTGGTATACGAGTCAAAAGCTAACATTGCTCAAATAGTTTTTTTTTTTTTTTTTTTTTTTTCAATGTAGCGTGAAGGTGTTGTAAGCGTTGCGAGAGAATAAAACTGAAATGAGGACAGGAGGGTCCGGGCACGTTTTGTGAATTATGATTTTTTATAGGCTTTATTTTTTGTTGCCAAGATCTGTGACGAAAAGAAATATTTAGGGTGACCGTATTCCTCAAGTTAGAAAACGGGACATCCCTCCCAGCCAGGGGAAGGGGGGAGGGGGGAGGGGGGGGGGGGGGTCTACTAAAAAGTGAGATTGGTAGAAAAAAAAATTAATTAAATAACTGCTGTTATTTCAAAGCGTTACCATAATGCACTAATGCCCTAGGGCCTCGGGAACAGTCACACTCACAGTTCAGTTGTATGCACGTATTTGGAAGGTCCTGCTTCGGGTCCTTTTTGGTGTGGGCGTATTTTGCCGATGACTGAAGTTTTTCAAGCAGGACTTTATCCTGCAAGACTCGGTTGTAAAAGTCTGCGCACTTATATGAGAAGTTCAACCGCACATGAGTGGCTATATCCGGTAACTAAGAAAAAAAAAAATTACACAC